TGTTACGATTTCTTTTGTCCAAATCTATACGGCAAGGCAACACGTGGGCAATCTGTCAAGGGAAATTCTTCCGGGAAGACTTTGGGAAACTGGCCACTACTCAAATCTTATGTGCGTGAACAAAACCGGAAAACTTCGCGTGGCCTGCCCGTTGGTCAGTGCAAACCCTCAACTAGTGTTCAGTGATTTTATCCACTCACTGGTGGGCCGTCCAAATCTATGCATTCGTTCAGTTTTACAAAAACACGTCGGTGATGATAAAGTCAGAATGTTTTGTGACAGACTTTATTTGGTGTATTCGCGATAAACAATTTGGCGAATAATGTCTGGTCTGACGATCTAATTCACTCTGCGAATGAGGTGATTACAGTTGTTTTTGTTCTTTCGTCTGTGACGTGACTCACGCATCTTCGTCTAATAATATGTGACTTACGTTAAGTTTATGCTATTCTAATCGTGGGCTGATTGTAACCTCTTTGGTTATGCACACGCTCCCCAGCAGATGGCATTAAGAATTTAAGGCTTTTTCTATGGAAAAAATTCTCGAAAACGGAAATAGAACGAAACAGTTTTTTTGCATTAGAATTCTATTTAATTCTCCCATTAACGTACAATACATTTCGGAATTTTGAAAATAGAGTTTATTAATTTTCTACAAAGTTTTAATTTGTAGAAAATTGACGAATTCAATTTTCAAAATTCTGATCCTTTTAATGCCCTGGTGGCACTAAAAGTTTTTTCACATCAATAGGCCGATTGGTGAGGGATTGGCCTAACGAATGTCTAACGAGTTATATTTTTAATCTTGTTTACGAAAGTTCATAAACGGACGTCACGGACCAAAGAGCTGTGTGTCCAAGACGGCGCGTCGAAAGAATACGCCTAACACACAACAAAATCATACGATTTCATTCATTTTTCACGCTTTGATATTTGTAATAATTATATTTCTTGTAATTTTTCAATTCTTATAATCTGTAACTCTTCAATGCAAAATATTCCAAAAATAATTCAAACAAGTGGTGAAATATTCACTCAAATCCGTGCAAATTTTAATTCAAACTCAAAGTTTCTTAGATTTTGAACTTACTCGGATTATAATCCCTAGAAATGAAGTAAGAATTGAGATAAAATAATTTTTAATGTATTTCCGGATAAATATGTGTAGTGCCCATCAGTGGCCGAGCGGATAAAACCACTAAACTATCGTAGTTCCTCGCCAACAGGCTGGTCACGTGGAGTTTTCCATAAAAATCCTCCCGAGAGGCATTCCCCTCGGCAGATCGCCCACATGTCGCGGTGCAGAAATTAAATTTAAATATGTATAATTATCGTATTTAAATATCGTTGTTACGTTGTATACAGAAGTCATTTAGTTATTATGTTCACTGCCATAATGAAAGAAATGAAAGTGTAGATGAATTAATATAAACTAGATATTCCAGTTACTGATCACGAGTTTGTATACGTTGCAGCCCGAGGAAAGTAACATACAAATAAATCTAAATAAATAACAAGAGGGAAACATTTTGTTTTCGTCTCGTTGTTTCTCAACAAATTGTTTTTTTTTCTTAGTTAATAGCAAACAATTTTTTAAAATATATATCGCGATAATGAATTTATTTTAAAACGTTTCGTTACAGATTAGGGACCACCCAAGAATTACGTCAGCAGTTTATGGGCGAAGGGGAAATCTGTTTGTATCTGACGATGGGGGAGTGTGATGACGTAAGATAGGGTTGAAATTAAATGACGGGGTGTAGTCATCAGAAAATTGCCTGAAGATAATTCCTGTGTATTTTCGAATGATTTCAACTGAAGTGATAATATAATTAGTAGAAAGGAATCTTGACGTATGATGACGATTATAATAGAGAGGAAATAAAAAAAAAAACAAATTTTGCTAATGTAATGTTTAAATGGCCCCTAACCGTTGACAAATGGCGCCATTTCAAAGGGATTTAAAAGATAGTTTCATCGAAATCATTCTTGTAGAAAATAGAAAATTTTAATTACAGGAACGCAAAAGCTAAAAATCGAATTTTGCGTAGTTCTGTTATGATCTACTTTTTATTTAACTGCGCGTGTTTTTATTCAGAATTTCGAATAACAAGTTGCACCCGCGACAAACTTCCGGATGACCTTGGATGCCTGTGACAAAAGTATATGATGTGTATCTCATCCTAAAAGAAATAATACAACTTAGTTGCATCATTGCTTCTTGATTGTTTGATTAATAAGCGTATCTGTAACTCTACGGTAAGATATTTGTGGTAAGAATTAAGAAGGGTCACGAATTTCCATCTTGAAATTTGGAAATTCCCTTTGCAGACTTACTACACGAAACAGAATTTTAAATAAATATTAAAACCGGTGTACAAAATTTAATTAATGTAAATATGCATACAGAATATAAAATTTTATTATTGCATAATTTATTACTAGATATAAAGATTATTCTGAAAATATATTTTTTCCCTTAGCCGAATGAATTATTCTTAAATTCGAAGAATACTTTTTGAAAACAATTGATAGAACTTCATTTATGAACGTTCTCATTAACAAATCAGCTGTAGAAATCATGCAAAAATCTTCAAAAAGGGACGATTCAAGTATTACAATAGCACTTTGTGGGAAAGAGGTTTCGTTCCTATCTGACGATTGCTTGTGATAGGGGGTGAGTCTTTGATGATGTAAGACTGCATCCGTCATTTATTTTTCTCCCCATCGCAAAAATGTCTGAAAATAATCATGTGTATTTGCGAATTGTTTTAACTTCTGGTCTGATGCCGTTATTTGGAGGAGGAAGTACGTTAATTTTTGATGACTGGTGTTGATAGACAGGGAAGAATTAAAAAACGTCAGATTTTTGCTGATGCTTCAACGGCCTCTAGAAGATTTGAAGGTTTGTGAGATAGGACAACGCGAAACGGGGGCGATCTGCCAAGGATAGTACCTCCCGAAATACTTTGTTTGAATAACTGGTACCTATTATGGCGGAAGCCCGGTAGATATTAAGAGAGTCAGTTTTTAGCAAGCCCATTATGAATTTGTCCAGGCCCACAATGGGGCGTCCAGGAGGAAAGGAAGGGGTTCGACATATCCAGACAGACCACCTCCGGAAAAATTCCTGTAGTTTTTCGACTTTGAAATCTAATTACAATTAAGCTGCAGAAATTAAATTTTAAGAGATACAGTAGATCAAAATTTAATTATTTTAGGGATAAGATATAATGAACTACTTTTATCCCTCATTACGCGAATTAGTTTAATTCTTATTGATAGATAGACGAGTGAATTCGATAAATTAAAACACATATATATATTCAAACATAAATAAATAAATATATACTGTATATAAAGAAACATTTTCATCATAATTTTCACGCTTTTCCTTCTGTGGCTAATGTAAATTAATCAAACTTTTAGATTCGTAATTTTTATTATTATTAATTGATATATTTTAATGACGGTAAGATGGCCGAGGCGATTAAGGCGTCAACATACCACTCTGGGGATCCGGGTTGGAATCCGGGAAAAGCAGAAATTTTCATGGGCGATCAGTTTCGGTTATGTTGGGCCCCATCCGTCACCATCTAGCCATTTGCATTGAGGGCCCTGTCGAACTCACGAAGGTATGGAAAAAGGCCCTGTTAAGTTTCCGTTCGATAATTGATGAAATGTATAACATTCAATATTTTGTTAGACGTTATATTAAATGAATTCAAATTATCACTCAATATAATAATTAAATTGTTTTTTGTAACCTATTTATTAGCAATAATTTAAGAACATACTTTTGTAAGTGTCCTTGGAAACATTTATTTAGATTCAATATCTCTAATATTATAATGTTATATCAATATACTGTTCTGGGTTTGGATAGATTGGACTTCACGACGTTACATAAGTTATATACAAAATTTCTGAAATGTTGCGCTAATAATTGAAAGTATATAATGTAACAACGCAAGAAAGGAAATATCCAAGAATCATTTTTAGGCTGTTTAGGGACTTTGTAATCGTTGTGGTTTATACCAGAGGAAGATGGCGGGTTATCCTCATTGGCCAAAATATAAAAACAGTAACCTACAGCATAGATATGCCCATTCTCCAAATAATTCGAAGCCTTCCGATCCATGTAAGTTACTTGGAATTCCCTCGCCATCAAACACTCAATCTGAAAACTTAGAATTTGGAGCCTTACGTCTAAATTCTGAAAATGACACACGAACCTACAATTACTTGCGTGGTTTGCGACCATTTCCAGTTCGGGAACATCGAGCTTTTGGAAGGTTATCATTAGAAAAGCCGATATCTACTATATTAAAACAACAAAGTAATGAATGGAGACATTTTGAAACAGATAGTCTTCGTCTCTTTAAATTAAAACAATCGACGACATTAGCGAAGTACAATCCGCAAACTATCGGAACGATTATGCCAAACAATATAATTTTCGATCGCAATAATCCAGAACTAATTGCCTGGAGAGTAACCGACCGAAACGGAAAATGGATTGTGCCAGAAACAGAAAGAGACGATTACGTCAGCACGAATTCGGAAGAATTATTAAATCCATGGATGCTCTGGCAATTACGGGAGGTCAAAAATATCCACACGATTGTTGGGTCCTTACCTTCCTGGGCTCGAAGTACGGGTTTCGGTCGAATTAGATGCTATAGAGAGTTTGCTAATTCGAGCTGTACACCGCGGAAATGCTAAAGCAACGACATAAAAACCGTTTTGAACACACAGAATTTGTTGGAGGAAACGTTTATTCCACATTATAATCAGAAAAATTCTTCAACACTTATCGAAACTGTCAAATTTTTTCACTTCTGAGTAAATGTAAGCATAAAAAACAATGCGGTTTAACTAGATAATTGCCAAAATAGCACACCGCATCGCTCTTATTGCCGAAATAATATACCCGTATCGCTCCATTACCACGTGGGATTTTTCGTGTCCTTATTTCGAATCGTGCCGAAATCCCACGTCGTAACGGAGGCATCTGAATGGAAATAACTCGCGCTTCGCGAAACGTGTAACATGTAATTTTTTGATAAGACGAGTAATTTATTTCCACCAATGCCGAAACTTTCTGTCTTCGCTAAATTTCACTCACGTAAAATTACGACAGGCTCCGTGCACTTTAGGTGAGTATACAAAACCTACTTTCGAGTTTCACAAGGATCCACCCGTACTTGGAAAAGTTGGCACAGACCACTCTCCCATCCTAGAAATTGAAAGTATGACACATTTCGTGTTGAAGGGCGAAAATTTACAAGGATAAAATGGTCACGATGAATGGCCTTACGCAGATTAACGATCTCGCTACCACGTGAGAATTGTCATTCCAAGGTAGAATTTAACGTTGAAACCTGAGAATGAAACTCGAATCTGACTATATTTTTATTGCATTATCTCAACGCGTTTACATAATATAAATATGTGAGAAATAAAACATTTTTTGTTTTCTTAAAATTAGTTAAAAGTTTTAGTTAATCCACAAGTTTCTCTGTTGTATAAAACGTTAAATATCGTTAGAAACGAATGGAAATTCTCAAGGCACCAAGAAATAAAATATATATTACGTACGATAAAAGTTGTTTTACATACTTGTGTTTCTCAAAAAAATAAAATGAAAAAACTGAAAAATTATTTTAAATAAAAACATGAAAACAAGCTTTTTGATAACTCGTATACTCGTAAGACCGAAATTTTCCATTCGTTCCCCTCCATGATAAAAATTCGTTTTAATAAGATTCATTTTTTAAAATACGGTTATAATTTAAAGTATTTATAATATTTCCCTATAGGGAAAAATAAAAGTGTCTTAAGCTCCTATCGTATCTTGGGTCGTCCTCGATTGGCAAATAGAGAGGGTCTGCTACGAGGACGGAAAATTCCAGAAAGACGAGGTTTGGCGGTTGTAGTCGAGGGTGCTTCAGTGATTACCGTTTTTTCTTCTTCTTCTTCCAAAAGGTCTGCTTCTTCTTCTTCTTCAACAGCTTCCGTCGTGGGCTGTTTAGACGAAGATGGAGGGGGTGGAAGCGTTGTTTCTTCTTCCGGCGTTTCTTCCTCCACTTTAGGTTCCGGTGTTTTGTTCTGTTGACGGAAAAACGGCGGTCGAACTCTTCCTCTGTTTGCACCCCCGAAGATTGGGGAACGACTAACTCCCGATGGTTTTGGGCGGGTTCTTGCACTAGGTGCAGTCGTCACCGTCGATCTGACGCTAGCAGAAGATACTCGATTACTGGTCACTGGGTTTCGGTTGCTTCCAAATCTTCGATTATTTCCAAATTGGCGCGATGATTGCGTGGTACTTGTGGTGCTCGAAGTGGTAGCGGTGTTGGTATCTTGATTCTTAGATTCGGTGGTGGAAGAGGAACGTAATCTGTTGTTATTGAAACTCGGTCGCCTGAAGCGATTGCTGCTAAATCGCGACTGGAAACTCCTCCTGGTAGGTTTCACGACGGTTGCGGGTGCTGGGGTGGTAGTACTGGTTGTGGTGGTGGTAGTAGTAGTAGTAGTAGTAGTAGTAGTAGTCGATTTTCGTGTGGTAGATCTTCCGATGTTTCTATTATTACTGTTGAAACGACGCCTTCCTATTGAAGTTCGTTTGCGTGTTCTTTCTGTAGTGGTAGTGGGTTCTGTTGTGGTAGTTGGTTCGGTGGTTGTGGTAGTTGGTTCGGTGGTTGTGGTAGGGGCTTCTGTAGTAGTAGTAGTTGTTGTTGTCGTTGTCGCCGTGGTAGTAGTGTCTTCTTCTTCTATTTCATAATCGGTCACTTCGATCTTTGTAGTCTCGGGAACGATGGTAGTAGTGGATGGGGTGGTACTCAACGGTACCGAAGTTGTTGTAGTCGTTTTAGTTTGAGCAGGAGTGAACACTTGGCTAAGTGTTACGACCGGGTTTAACTTTAACGGTTGTAAATGATTAGGAGTAACAGGAAATCTCGGAATGTCTCCAATTCCGTAACGATAAACATTAGGAACTATCACGGGAGTTTCCGTAGTTACTATTGAAGGATTCGTAGTAATTTCTTGAGACAAGGTAATAGAATTAGGTATCTTCCTTGGTACGGGAGCATTGTGTTTAGTATTAGCAGATGCGATTTCTGTTCGGGATACCTCATTTTTATCTACCGAGTTTAATAGTTTAGTCACTTTGGTTACTTTAGCTGGCTGATCGTACGATTCCAAATTCGGGATGTCGTCGAAGTTCAACGATAGATTTTTACCCGGTTTTTTGTCTTCATCGTAATAATAATAGTAATAAACTACGTATTCGTCGTCCAGTTGTCCACCCTTCGCTGCCTTGTCTTTGGCGGCGTTTTTACCTTTATCGAATTCAATTTCTGAAGCCGGCGCTTTTTCGATTGCCTGCACCGAAGGTTGAACAGATCCGATAACTTTTCCTTGTTTGATGACGTCGGCTGTGTATGATGTAGATATCGAAACACTGGGAGCGTTTCCTGTTTGAGGGGAGATCTGGGGTTTCGGCTGTCCTCCACCGATATAAAGTGCACTACTTGTTGGTTGAGACTGCGGTTTCTGGACCGAATTCGATGGTAATTGCGGATTATTTATAACTGGCGGAGAATAGGAAAACTGTCGATGAGGTTGAATTTGCGGCTGATATATTTGTGGGTTGCTGTTTGGTTGATACGAGGGAATGTTGTGGTGGGAATATTGCGGGGGTTGAGACTGATAAGAAATTGGTAATAATGGTGGTTGGTACTGCGGCCTGGGCTGAGGATTTGGAACAATATTTGCGGGCGGAAGTTGTTGAATCGGCGGTAAAATTGGAGGTTTGTAGGCGGTTTGTGGTTGAGACTGTTGTAATGGCTGACTGGCCGAAGAAAAGGATAAAGGAGGCTGATAATTTGATTGATGATTATTAGCTAATTGTCTGACGTAAGCTGTTAGATGATCCGGTAGGGACTGAGGTGCTTGTCTAGACTGCCTGTGCGAATGAACTCCGTGCTCAGAAATAGAAAATATGGCGGTGGCCAATATTAAAATGGCCGACCTGAAAAGAAAAACTTCAATATGTTAATTTTACGGGAAATTATTTTAATAAGAACAATATAACTTTCATTTGTTGTTATCTCAATATAAATTAAACGAGCCATTAAAAATATAAACATATATTTGCGTTCTTATTTTTTAAAACAGATCCTGTTTTTTAATCTTAGGCATCTTTTATTGAATGAATAAAAAATAATAATAATCTACTTTCTGCTCTACATACCTTGTCTATTGTATCAAAGAAAGATTGATATTCAAATTATCTACGAGAAAATTGGCTCTATTTAACAACTGAGATGCTGCATTCCAATACAATATCACTTTCAATAAAATATTAACATTACGGAAAATACATGAAAGATGTACTTCTCTTTTGCATGTAGCTTACACAAACGTAAAGGATATAATCGTAGATCACAAAGAAATTAGCCAAAAATAGCGATAAAGAGGACTAAACCTGCACTATGTCTAAGTATACATTTAATTCATTTTCGTGTATTGGAGCATGTTTAAAATACTAGAGTTTTAACAGAGATTTAGCGTATGAAACCGAATTAAATTGCCAATCTTTCCTAATTTTGATAACTAAAAGTGTAACTAGGACTTTTTGTTTGTGTCAGTGACCCGAAAACAGATCCGCGAACGTCCCAGAAATTCTTCCGGTTTTTGCTTTTTTTTCGTCTTTTGTACGGAGACAATGGTATTTTCTATGGAAAAATGCGTTATTACTTAATCATTCGTAATACCGAATCCCATTATTGTTCTGTTAACGGTATTGTTTGAAACATACACACGTTAACCATTTGAATAATACTTAAATAATATTGTTCTTGCCTAATGTACGAAAATACATATTAAATTTATTGTTAACAATTAGTAAATGATCGAGGATAATTAATGCTGGTATTTGAATTTAATCGGCTGTGAAATAGGCTAAAAGGCGTGACAAGGAATAATTTCCGTTCACTCCGGAAACATTCGAAGAATGTCACATTCTTTTTATTCCGTTTTTTTCTACCACTTAATTACATAAAAAGTTCAAAACATAATAAAAATAACCCTCAATTAGCATCACCCGATTTAGTAAATCTATTTGAATGAATAGTCTCGGTTTTGAAGGAGTTTCTCATTAAAAATAAATTGTAAAAATCCATGGATAAAAGAGGGTTAATTTTCTTCCTATTTTTATTCCGTTTTCCCCATAATTTAATTTTGATTGATGAAATTAATTGCGAAACGAGAGAGTAAAAATACTTATGTCAATATATAAATTATATAAGATGAGCATGACTACAAACGATGTTCTCCACCTTGCTCGGAGCGATTTTTTGATCTAGGTCACAGATTTTTTGGCTGATATCCAATCCACTAACATGTTTTTATCGAACAGTAAAATTATTGCTGGAAGCCATTCAATGTTGATACTTTAATCAGCCCTCATTGTTTCTGGCATATTTAACGGGTTTGATTGAAGTACAATTTTTCAAGTGAACCATATGCTACACATTTATGGAAATGCGCAACTTTCACTAATTTCCCTATACACAAATCACAGTCTGTATAAGTAATCGCTGTAGGAAGAGAGTAAAAACTTATTTTTTTACACCAATTTTCCTTCATTAGTCTGATAGAAACATCTTTGTTTATCCTACGGCCTGTTGAGCAAGTCCAAAATGAAAGTAAAGCGTCGGATAAAGCAGAGCAATTTCTTTTGTTAACGCCATTTTATGCTTGGTTGAATCTTGTAAAATAATAATAATAATAATTAAAATTAACTTCGAGGTATTTAGAAATATTTTTTTCGAATGAACTAATGAAGGACCTTGTCCGAATTAACTAGCTCGGTGCGAACTCGCAAACAATAAAAACAATAATACGTCTATAAAGCTATCAATTCACCTTTTCATAAACAGATAAGGGCTTGTATGGTTTCTCGTAACTATTATAAGAAAAAGAAAAAGTTAACCTGGTCAAGGATAAGTTAAAGACGGGATTTAAAGCGGTAGTGACGTCATTTCAAGGTTAGATTCTGCATATATTTAGGAGGAAAGTCTCGAAACATTGTACAATTTTTTACGAGAAATATTCCGGAACTCTTTAGATAATACTCAGAGAGGGGAAGAAAGTCCTATCAGTTGTAGTAATTTGGAAATAAATGAAGCGATCAGTTTAAATTTCGTTCCATTTCATTTCCTGCGAAACGGCCTCATCAGTGCGGAAACTGAAAGGATTTTTACACCAAAATAAAAAAAATCAAGAATTCTTGGAATAGTAAAGAAGAAAATAAAGCAAAGATAATTATTATTTATTCGTTAAAATAAAATAAAATATTTTTTAAAAAAAAGTACTTTAAAAGTTGAAGTAGAAGAAAAAAAAAAAAAACAATACATAAACGCATAAGTTTATATATAAATATACGAAATTGTGTGAAGGTGGGTTCATCAACACAGTTTACCCTATATAGAAAGTTGTCTGATGACTTCAACTTTCGTCCGAACTCAGTTCAAATCTCGGAATTAATTTTAAAAAATACTTAATTTTTAAATATTTATTAATAAAATATTGTTAACAGAATGTTTAATGTATTCAACAGGCTACATATTTTCTACAGTGGGAGGAGAAGCTACATATAAGGTTATTCTATTTAAATATCAAAAATTTTTCATATTCGAACTGGTATATTTAATTATTAAAAACGTGTTTGACCAAGTAGTTAATTATAATTAAAGTTTCAATACCTTTTTGAGGTTTTCCTTGACTATTTTGAATATATATTCTCGATAATAACTTACCTAATTCCAGTTCTTTTAAGGCAGTTAATACCGGTTCTGTGACTTTAAAGCATATAAAATATAAAATTTTGAAAAGAAAACTTTTCTAACGATTTAAAAATATTATATTTTCGCCCTTATATAATGCGCATCAACTTATAACGATAGCATATTCTTCCGTTGTATCGGGTGATACGCCCTTTGACAAACCGAGGAGCGTTTTAGAAAAATAATATATGGGAAATTTTATAAAATTATGCTAAATAAACGATTAAATAATTGGTTAAGTTTTTAATGAGATGAACTTACCTGATATACATAATTGTGATTAAACTTTCTCTCACCTGCGCGCAGAGAAACTTATCACCTGATCAAGTAAAAACTACAGGTATGACTGTCTGTGAAGAAGTTAGCACGGTTATAGTGTGACCTGATTTTACTCCCTCAGGGCCAATTGGTTGTCGAGCCAGTCGCGTGGGCTTCTTTCTATATCAAAAATTACAAAGATTTAATTGTCATAATTATATTTAAAAACAAAAAAATCATTCCAATTATAAATTTTATGATTTTTAGCAAAAAAATTATTTACCTTATCTTCAAGATTTTAAGACAAAAATACACTTAAATACTTTTATTAACACTGCTTTTATATGGGTTATATCTGCGGTTGACTTAAATTCGAAGAAGTACACTGACTTACTAAGAAATATCTGATAAAGCTTGAATTGGTGGAGTAAGAATAAACCCACAGATAATTTGGGTTACGCCAAAATCGCCCTTGATTTAAAAAAAAAAATAAAAAGCAAGGTCCTATCTTAAAAGCAGTAACAATTATAAATGTCGGCTATAAAACAAGTATTTATAAAACCGTTTAATAATAATAATAAATAAATAAATTATAATTTCGTTTTAGATGTGAAATAATTATATTAAACACATTTAAAATAATATTTTTGCCAAACGTTGGCCGAGAAGATGATCTGAATTGTTTCGTTATCAGGATCAACGGCCTATTCCAGCATTTCCTCAATCATCCGAGTCAATATTATTTTCTTGACAATGATGTTGACATTCGTTTAACATATTTCTATTTTAATCTTAGAAAAATTTACTTCCTATTTGAAAAGTTTAACGAGTTTTTCACCATTTTAATTATTTTTATTTAATGAATTAGCCTAAGTGGTGATTGAGAGTGAAGACACCTCTTCTACCATTCCACTAACATTGATTGTAATTTGCAATACAGTATTTAATAACATAATTAATTAATTAATTAAATTTATTTTTTAGTTCGTATAAATTTTAAAAATATATTATCTTTTTTAGATTAATTAAATTCTGTTTATTCTGTGTATTGTATTGTAGAGAAAAAATTTTCTAAGGCCAAGCAACGGTAGAGAGATCATTTCTCTTGCAGCATTCAATTATTAGTTGATATTTTCTATTTAGGGTATTAGGTTAGGTGGGTCGTTCACTCTGGCCCTTCGCGACCTTCACCTTTTCCCTATTAATTCCGCTTATCTCCGCTAGATGGCGTTCGGGCCCTTGAACTTCTGCCATTTTTGTATCATACGGAATAATAATAGCCGAACGGAACAGTTGACCCGCTATCATTTTCCTTATTGTTAGTTCGATCGTTGATCCTTTTTATAGTTCAAGTTACAAAATTCCATATTGAGCGAATATTCCACTTTTTTGTGTAGTTATGGGGTTTACTGCAACAAAAAAAAAAAAAAAAAACACTTTAAGCGGGTTTATTTTGATCATTTTGGTAAAAAAGAATTTTCCGTTTAGTTCTTTGTAAAAGAGGCGTTTTTCTATGTTTAATTTTCTCTTGGCCTAAATCTCGAGTTATTTTTTTAATAAACGGGTCCAAGCGTAGACTATTAGTTGAATAAACTAATAGGCCAATATATGACGCATAATCGGAATTAATAGGTAAATAACAGTTCCCTGGACATTCAACTTTTTGCATTATCAGATTTTTTAAAAATAAGTGTATAAATTTATCAATTTTTTATTCATTTTTTGAAGAGATTTGAAGTATTAAAGCGGTTTTAACGGTTGAATTAAAACTGATAACGACTCTATCACCTTTATCTCTTATTATTTTTTTCTAAATAATTACTTAACGTAAAACTTTTGTATTACGGGACACGTTTGTGATTTTATAGTACAAAGTAAAAGATGGCTGATTAGCCAGAGTGGTTAAGACATCAGCATTCTGCTCTGGGGATGCAGGATCGAAGCCGTGCGATCTGTCTCCCCAGCAACTTTTCAAGGGCGATTTTTCTCGGATATGTCGAGCCCCGTGTCTTTTCATCCGACCACACCCTTGTGGGCCTAATTTCCCCTGAGGTTTTCTCAGTGGCCTCAGGGGAAATGAGTAAAAAAAAGAAGTACCAAGCAAAATATATAATGTTATAAGAAACCATCATTCGTGCAATGTTTCTACATTCTAAATATCAAAGAAACATTAAAAAATGATTAATTTAAAAATATAATAGTCAAATATCTGAACAGTGGCCACCGTGGAAACATACAAAATAGCCGTTGTTTTGAGATTATTTTGCATGCTTTCTTCAGAAACATTTCCTGAAAATGGCCACTGTTTATAGGTGGCCGTTATTGAAGGTTCGACTGTAATATAAAACTTAATACAAAGTCTTTTTTTTTATCTTGTATAGTTCTGATAATTTTAAATTAAAAATATTTCAAAAATACAATAATTGAAGTGTTTAATTATATTTGTATGCTTTTTGAATATCATTTAAAATAGAAAAACCGTTTAAAAATTTATTAAAATGCTGATTCAAATATTAATTGCAAACAGGAGTAACTGGTCAAACTCGATTAAATTTCATTCAGTCATATAATTTATATTATTCTTAAAAATAACAGCATAAATTAGTAACAGATGTAGGCTAGTCCCGAATTTATTTATTGTTAAAAACATTGAATTCAGATTGTTAAAATTTATTTATAAATGAAAAAAATATGAGAAAAGTATGCGATCATTTTACATACCAAAAAGGATCTGGTTAGAGACGTTTGAGCTCTCCGGAAATCGTGAAATTTGTGTGGCGTAGGATATTACCTATCCTTCTTTCAATATATGTCGAAACGCTTCATTGCTTTATTAGATTGTGGTAGTTTTATTTGAGAATTTGGTATTTATAAACCGTACGTTCTACAAAAACATACGAAATACACACAAATACCTGTTTAAAAGCCTAAAATATCATTAGAATTTTCCATATTTAAAAGCGGGTACGAAGTTACTTTAATTCAGAAGTTCGTTTCGTATTGGACTATTTTAGATGTGGGTAAATTAAAAACTCAAAAGAGCGTTTCAGAAGAATTTATACAAGTGTATGTTGTTCTAACTAATTTATATAATTTTTATTCGTATCTCGGATGGATATAAAGACGTAGCTTAACGTTATGGAGAACTCGGGATCGTATCCAGACGAGCAACTCCAGGGTGTTTCATGGACGGTATATTCTCGCGTCTCTAACACTTAAATAGGTGTAAGTTTTCTATAGAAAGCCTTTTCGGGAGGCATTCCTAATCGGCAGATCGCCTGCCTGTTGCGTTTCCATCTCCTATTAAACCAAACCTAATTGTGAGCCTGGTCGAACCCAGAATGAATAAAGGGTATTTATATAGACCTTCTTGATACTCAGGGGACAGGAAAAGTCAAACATGAAATTAAAAAATTTATTCGTAATTCGATATCTTTATTACGGTCATTATTATGCTTAACATCGGAATCAAATTTCAAAATTAACATTAAGTACAAATTTGAGTTACTTTCGTAGGACTTATATTAACCAATAAGTTGCGTTTATGTTATTAAGATCAAGATTATTATCTAATGACCAATAAAATGCATATAAATAAGTTGAAATGTTCAAGTTTAGTAAGAATGATTCCTATTTGCTGTCCTTGTGCAGTGTGCATCCTACATATACACTAGCAATGGCCCTGAAATTATATTTAAGATTAGCATATTTTTTAAGAAACATGTTACGGCTATAATATTAGTTAAGAGACAGAAACGTATCCAGATTATTTAGTAGTAGGGCAGTTTTTTTTGAGAATATCGCGTATGAAGAGAGAACGTTTTGCATGTTTTATTAACAATCAAATCTAGAAGGTCGTCCTGTTGGGTCTGACTTGTCCTCGATTATCAGCTTCCTCTTAATACTGTTTACGTTTTTATAAAAGAACTTTTTTACTCTGAGGCCACTAATGGGCCTTTTATCAGACCATCGCGGGTTTGACCAGAACCACGATGGGGAGACCGAGTGGCGAGAGACATATCCGGAAAAGACCATCCTCGAAAATTTCCTGGGGTTATTCGCCTCTTTGGATTCGATTCCGAGTCCCCAGAGTAATTAATTAATTAAAATTTTTTTACATCATAATTTTCAAAGAAAAGACTTTTTCGATAAAATAATACTTTGCTAAATATATATACGAACTATATATATATATAGGTATCCCTTGTATAACGCAGTAATAATTACGTTTCGAAAAAGTGCCTTGTTATGCGAATCCGTGCTATACGAAACAAAGTACTAATGCAAAACATGAGGTTAATTTCTGAAGTTAGCAAAAGAATATTATTCTTTTTCATTACTAACTTGTAAGAGAAAAGTGTTTATTAAAGCAATCAATAATTAATTAACAATCAGAATTAAAAGTACCGTATTACGCGTTAATATTAATTCTAGTTAAACGAGAGCGTTTTCTTTTTACAAATTATCGCCATCTTCTTAGCTTTTTTGTCGATCTCGATCAGAAGTATCAGCAGCATTTTCATATATTTTTATTTTTATCATAAAAAATTTTAATGAATGACGAAATAAAAATATGTTATTAATCAAAAATTTGTTCTAGCGGGTCGCGTTTGTTCAGCGGGTGCAAATTCTGAAAAAAGGTCCTGAGCGACCTTTTTTCCAGAATTTGTGTTCGAATACCGCCGTATTTCGTTCGTCATTTTGTATTCTTTGTATTAAGTTTTTTACTTCACAGTTTAATAACACTTACCTAAAAATGTTTAAACAAACTTCAATTAATCTATAAAAACAAAACACAGTGACAGTCTTAAGAACTGTCAGAAAAGCATCGACGACGACACCTGGTTGATAGGAAAGTTAGTGCAATTTTTTCTTCCTTATTACAAAGATTGTTTTTAGCCCTTGGTATAATTAAACGAAATAAAATATCTACTAATGTGAGGTAGATAATAATTTTATTTAATTTTTCTTACTTGTCCTGTCGGTTTTCATTAAAGTAAACCTGATGAAAAGCATTAAATAATTTATAAATTTCAGTATTCTAAAATCAGTGGGCAAATTTGAAACAACACGCGTGCTTACTTGAATAAAAAAAAATGTCGAATAACGAAGTTTACACTTAAAATTGTAAAATTTTGTACGGAGGATTTCCAAAACTGTGTTTCAGCGAAACCGGAA